TGCCTTTAGTCAGGTCCTCATTGGGATAGTGTTTGATCAAAAGCAACGTCTCCACATAGCTGCACAAAAATCGCCTGGACGCTTCTATCGGGATGAATGGCTTCTCATGTGTGAGTTCATTATGGACGTACCAAACTCGCCATAACAACATTAGCAGGAGCATACGACGGGTGTCATCCAGGTCCTGTAGAACTAACAACAGCCAATCTGGCTCATCTCTATGCATGACTTCATCCGACGGCAGGTCCCACACCCTACGCATAGCATCCCAGAGATCGCGGGCATGAGGGCACCTGGTTAATGCATGTTGGGTAGTCTCGGCTTCAAGGCCGCATATTTCGCAGGTGTTCTCCAACTCTAGGTGTCGCCGACGTTTATTCTCACGAGTTGCTAGCGCATCTCGTGCTGCTCTCCAAGCAAATACGTTAACCTTTGGTGGAGCTCCACTATTCCAAAGCAGCTTCCATGCCGTCCGAGATCCATCAGGTCGGGAGCTGGACTGACCTTCACCATCGCCTGTCATGATCATATCGCTTGCCATGTTATAAGCAGACCGCACTGAGAATCGTCCATGCTTATCTGGGTGCCAAGCAATAGTGTCAGCCTCTAGGCGCCGTGATGGTTTGATTTTGAGAATTTCCGTTGCATCAACAGGGAGAAAATGTTGATGAACCAAGGTTGCGTTCCATGAACCGTCCACGTTCAGGAGATCAGCAACCCACCTCAGTCTGCATCTTCCTTTAGGTGTGACTGGTCGGAGAGAAGGTCCCCGGGGAATCCATGGGTCGCGCCATAGACGGATACTAGCTCCATTACCCACACGCCAAATGCAGCCCTGTTTTACCAACTCCAAACCATACTCTATCGCTTGCCATGTCGAGGATGCATTCCCACTGAATACCGTGTCTGTGATTTCGCCATTGTGATAGTATTTTGCTCGAAGGACCTGCGCGCATAAGCTCTCTGGGTACTGGATTAGGCGCCACGCTTGCCGAGCTAACAGTGCCTGATTAAACAATCGGAGATCCTTAAACCCCATGCCGCCTCGCATGTTGGGCCGCAACATGATGTCCCATCCGACCCAATGAGTTTTGCGTTTACCTCTTTCTGCACCCCACCAATATCGACGAATCATCTTTGTAAGCTCATCACAAAGGCCAGCCGGGACTTTGAATACACTCATGATGTACACAGGAAGAGCTTGTGCAATGGCTTTGATTTTTATCTCCTTCCCCCCAATGGACAGATAATTATCACCCCATTCCATCAAATTCTTTGCTAGTTTCTCCTCCAAGCTCTTCAATTTACCCCTACTCATCCTACCTTCTGGTGTTGGGAGACCGAGGTATTTGGCTTCAAAAGTAACCTGAGTTATCTGCAATATGCCCTTTATATTGTTCTGTACCGTCATCGGGCATGCAGGGCTAAAAAGAATTGAACATTTTTGGGGGTTGATGACTTGCCCCGTCCCATTAGCATATGTCTCGAGCACACACTTGACCCTTACAGCCTGTTCTGGTTCTGCCTTAAAGAAAAGCAGAGAGTCATATGCAAATAGCAAGTGTGAAATTCCCGGGGCCCTTCGGCAGACTTTGAGCGGAGTGATCGTACCCTGGGTATTTTCACGACGTAGGAGTGCAGAGAGACCGTCAGCGACAAAAAGGAACAAGAATGGAGATAGTGGATCACCTTGGCGTAGACCTCTGGAAGGGACGAATGAATCAAGGAGGGTACCATTAAATTTAACCGAGTAGCTCACCGAGGTAACGCAGGACATAATCCAATTAACCCATCGGGGAGCGAAACCCAACCTCTGCATCATTCTTCTGAGGAAGTCCCAGTCGACTCTGTCATATGCCTTAGATAAATCCAATTTGTATGCACAAAAGGATTCATGTACCTTGCTGCAGTGCTCAATTGCATGAAAACACTCAAACGCCACTAATGCATTGTCAGTAATCAAGCGCCCCGGGACAAAGGCACTTTGATTCAGTGATACAATTTCACCAAGTATTGGCCTGAGTCTATTGACGAGACATTTTGCCACTATCTTGTATAGGACTGAGCACAGACTGATAGGACGGAAATCTTTAAGAGTTTCCGGTTGATCTGATTTTGGAATGAGCACAATCGCTGTGGAGTTCGTCTCAGAGGGCATATATCCCGTGGCAAAGAAAAGACGTATTGCCGCTACCACCGTGGTCTTCAGGACAGCCCAGTTTCGTTGGTAGAACCGTGCCGGGAATCCATCCGGCCCGGGTGCTTTCAAGGGCCCAATCTGAAACAAAGCGTCTGCAATCTCCTTCTCCGAAAACTCCATGCACAATGAAGTGTTCATATCTTCTGTAACTTTCTGCTCTACCAAGTTGAGAATTTCATCCGCATTTAGAGATGGGTCGCGGGTGAACAACTCTTTGAAGAATGAAGATGCCATCAGTTCCATGACCGAGGGGTTGTTCTGCCATACCCCCGTGTCGTCCTTCAACTTTTTTATCTTGTTCTTTTGGGCTCTCCAAACAGATTGGCTATGTTTCTGTCACCGTCTTTGAGCCAATTAACACGTGAGCGTTGCAGCCAAAGAAGCTCCTCTTTATAGAGCAACTCGTCCATGCTATCAGATAGTCGGCGGATTTCGCTTTGGTCACCATTTGATTGCACTAGCTGCTCAAGTTTACGTCGTGTACGTTCCACCTCTCGCATGATATTACCAAACCGCCGTCGGCTCCAGCCATGTAGCTCCTCCATGATTTTGTTTAGTCCAGCTGTTACCGAAGCCAGATTCCCACTTGTTTGGGTAGCATCCCAAGCCCTCTGGATGATCTCTGGCAATTCGCCTGCTCGTTCCCAGAATATTTCATATCGGTTGGTGCGGCCACAGCTTGGTGGGCGCTCTTCCTTCTGCAGCTCAATTATGATCGGTAGATGATCAGAACAAGGGGACACGAGGTGTACCACACGTGCATCAGAGAATAAGTCCCTCCAGCGGTCGTCGGCCAGGGCTCGGTCCAACCTAACTTTGACATTCGCTCTTCCTTTTCGCTTGTTATCATATGTGAATGGTGCTCCTGAAAACCCAAGGTCATGGAGCTCACAGTCTTGGACGATGTCACGGAAGGCTGCAATCTGGCAAGCAGGCCGAGGGGTAGCTGACAAGTGCTCGCATTGCCAGAGAGCTTCATTGAAGTCTCCCATCAGCATCCACGGGAGATCACTACTAGCCCTCAACTGCGACATGATGGACCACATTCGATGTCTATTTTCAGTACGTGGTTCGCCGTACACACAAGTAAGATGCCACAAGGGATCATTGGGTGAGGCACGAACATAAGCATCAATCGTTCTTTCATTCTGATCTCTGATCTCAACTGACAACTGATCATTCCAAAACAAAGCTAGACCACCGCTTTGACCATTGCTATCGACTCCACTGAAACCACGAAGACCCAAACGATGGCGTAGACGACGAACTTTATTTGACTTCTGCCTAGTTTCACACAAAAAAACAAATTGCGGACGATGACTTTGGACGAGGGCAGTGAGATCACGAACCGTCGAGGCGCCCCCGATTCCTCGACAGTTCCAGCTCAAGCCTATCATTGCTGCTGACGGGGCGCCACACGCGGCCCCGTCAGGTTACCGGCAGCCCCTAGGCCGGTTGCTTCCAAAACCACCATGCCGTCCTCAAGTGCATCCTTCCAATCTTTCCAAAACTCATCCCTGTCAAACGCATCCTGTCGTACCTGTCCAGTCACCGCGACACCATGGGCGAACACAGGTATAGCAATGTTGGACGGCTTCGGGTGGGTGACCCCCTCGTCGGGTGTCCCTTTTTCACCCCCACCGCCAGCAGCTGCAAGCACCCATGATCTAGTCAGCCGCCGAGAGACACCCAGGACAGGCAGTGCCACTACTGCTGATGCATATACTCGTTCAGCAAGAAGCGACAATATTTGGTTGATATTGCAAACTGCAGTTCTCAATCTGATTGCAGATCCAATCAAGCCAACAAGACCTTCTTCCTTACAAAGACAGCAGGGTTCTCTCACCCATACACAGAGACAACGAGGATCAGAGTTGAACTCCATCCCAGACGGTAGAGGCGAACAAGGTCACCCTCTACAGGAACGCCCTAGCCGCCGCACGTGCAGCTAGACGTCAGACTTGCGCAGCACGCGAGCCACACATCAAGCGCTCAGCATGGGAGAGACGACTACGCCCATCAAACAGACAGACAAAGGTGGACGCCGGCACCGGACGGCGCCGGCGGCGGCGAGGACGTAAACCCTAGGTCGCCCGCAGGATCGCCATATGTTTTTGTCAATAATGTTTGAAGGTGGTGTTTTTGTTCATTATGTTCAGGTAGGTGATCTAAAGTAATAAAAATTCTGCACCTCGATGGCTCAAAACATCTTCAAGGGGCCGACGCCGAATTTATTTTTCATATCCCAAGGAAAAGATCATCCAATACGAAGCATATCTTGGCTTTAATGCAACCAATAACATGGGCAGATACGCTGTCCTGCTCGAACTTCATCCCTCCAAATCAATGGTCATTTGTCATCTCCACGGGTAAGGGGGCTTCCATCCGTCCCTATAAGTCAATGGTCGTTTGTCGTCTACACGGATAAAAGGGGTTCCATCCATCCCCGCAAGTCAATGGTCGTTATGGGTAACGGGCCTTCCAACCGTAAATCGACCAAAGGGAGAAATTATATCAGTGCTTCGATGACCGGGTAGAGGAGTACCCGGTAGAAGCATTCTACTTACTATATTAACCAATTTTAGGAATGACACATTTTGCACGCATTATTCAATCTTAAAAAGGAAAAATATGGGCGGGGACCAATGCATATTGTCCGTGAAACATGTTTAACACTATTTGTTTGAGTAACATGGCAGCAATTATTGGGCTTCTGTCCAGCAAAATTGTGAAATCGCTAACGATCCTGCCGTCGGTCAGTTCTCCTTCCAACTACTACTAGCTTTCTTTCCTTCTATATATGGGCAAATATATTTACGAGAGAAAACAAAAGTCCAGAGCAGGCGGAAGAAACGCGAAACGGAAACCACGTGGTTCGAGGGTCCAACTCCTAGAAACATCACTCGAGCAGCCTCGAGGTGCGAGCACGCGGAAGGCCTGTACTGTACCCGTTAAAACCCCGGCAAATCCCCTCCCATCTCTCGCGCTGCCTCTCTTTTCTCCCATCCCACCGCTCACCATGGCCGCTATCGACGAGGCCTCTGGCCGCCGGGCGGCCAGCTGCTTCTTCGAGGTCGGCCAGCGCGAGATCGGCTTATCCAGCTCCCGCGCTTCGTCCTGCCGAATCAGCGGCTCCGAGGTGCTCCTTTCTCAATTATTTCCATTTCAGTGTGATCTCCTGTACTTTTCTGATTTCGGTTGGTTTCTCGAGCGGATCGAGCATCGCTGACCGCGTATATCGTTAGGGAATAGGGAACCTTCTGCATTTTTCTGTCGGCAGGGGTGAAATACTGGAATAGGATAAGCATGTTCGTAGGCGGCAGCTTGGTCTTGCTGTTGGGCTATTGAGGTTATTTGGTTGCATATGCCTTAGAGCATCTCTAGCAAATCCGGCAAACCGCGGTCCTGCAAATTTCGTTTACAGTCGGTGGTACTCCATCAGCGAGTTGGAGAGGACGAACGTCATGTCGTACTCCTTCAACGCCGTCACGTGCGCCGCTGCAGCTTCGTCTCCAGCGGCGGCTGCCTCCTTCGCGTCGAACCACGCGCTCTCCGCCGCCCAGAGACGCTTGAGCGCGGGCGAGAAGATCCGGTCCAGCCGGTTGAAGTTGCTCCAGGCCCCGCTGCCGCCACTGCCGGAGAGGGCGCCGCGCACGCGCGCCTGCACCTTGCGCCACTCCTCCACCGCCGGGCGGAGGGAGGAGCTACCCACCTCGTCGTCATGACGGCGCTTGCGAGGCGGTGACCCGCCGCGGCCACCCCGCAAAAGGCTACCGGAGGAAAGGGGATTTGTCACCGGAGATGTCGATTTACGGCGGAGGGGGATACGGGAAATGCCGGATGCGAATCCTAAAACGGGGGAGCTCCGGTGTATGTGCGGGAATCGAGGGCGGTTTACGGGTTGTCTGTTAAAAAATTACTGGTCGGGCCATTTTATTAGGATCTACTCGGGCCTGTTTTTTGACACGAACTGTAAATCTGCCGGGCCGGCGAGGAGATGTCGATTTACGGCAGAGGGGGGTAGGGGAAATGCCGGATGCGAACCCTAAAACGGGGGAGCTCCGGTATATGTGCGGGAATCAGGGCGGTTTACGGGCTGTCCGTAAAAAAAATTACTGGTCATGCCGTTTTTACAGGATCTACTCGGGCCTGTTTTTTGACACGAACCCTAAATCCGCCGGGCCGGCGAGCTTTTAAGGGATATGCTAGAGATGCTCTTAGTCCAGTCTTTGCTTTATGTACTTTGTACCGTAAAGCTCAAACCTCTGATCATATGGACACAGGTGCAGGGCCGGCTCTATGTTTTTCGGGGCCCTTGGCCAAGTTGAAAAAAGGGCCCTTATAGGTAATATATATGTACGCATATCCGATCATATTTTGTTATTCTGAGACGTATAACATATAAAAAATTGATAATCACGCAGACTATGTCATATCATGAAAGGAAGACTAATAAAGTAGCAAAATATTAAATATGAGAAACAATATTCCCTGCTAGTTTGATTACCTTAAATAGATCCAAATTCTAATTCATAGACAATAATGCTTCAATTCTTCACGAAAAAACCTCTTCGGGCATTTCTAGAAGCAAAATCATTGATGACAATATCAAGATCAATGTTGTCCAAGATATCCTTCTCAATACAGCACATGGCCAATCCATTCAATCTGTTTTTTTGGTTTCCTTTTCGCAGCACCGGACTTAGGTTTCGCCATTGTAACACCTAAATCCTAAAGCTGCAAAAAAAATCAATAGATCAATACGACTAGAAAGATGATGAAACTGAAAAGGTAAATACGTTTACGCCAAGAAAGCAAGAAAATCAACCGTACCAAGAAAATCAAGACGGGAATCACGGAATCAAGGATTAAAGGGCCACCTGATTGCAGCAGCCGGCGGCCGGCCGGCCGGGCGTCCGTGCGAGTCTTCGAGAGACAGAGAGAGCAGCAGGCGGAGGCGGACGAGCCCCCGAGGCGACCAGGACCAGACGCAGATGCCGAGATGCGATTCAATCGATCGAATCGATCGATGTAGTATGCCAGACGTCGTGCCTTTTCCTCTCCCGTAGTTGGGCTGGGCCTGTACTGATTCATTTTTTTCAGCCAATGTATAGTCTTATGTATCTGATGATGCCCTCCCCCCCTCCCCAGACCGGGGCCCTTGGCCCAGGAAAATCCTATTCGCCGCTCGCTGCGGCAAACTGTCGAGCGATCGCACAGGGGCAGCGCAGCGAGCGACAGAAATGGGCCGGCCCACACATAATGCGTCCAAACCGGTTTTGGGAACCTTCCAGAAGGTTCCCTGAACCGGTTTTTTTCCTGTATCGTTTTTTCTGGTTCTTTTTCGGCTTTCTATTGTTTTTTTATTTCTCTTTTTTTCGTTTCTGTTTCTTTTTCATTTTTTCGTTTTTTGTTTCTTGTTTCATTTTCTTTTTCAAGTTTATTTTTCTTTTTCAGAATATGTTCGTAGTTTTACAAATGTTTATGATTTTCTTTTTTATTTCCTTTTCTTTTCTTCTTGTCCTTTAAAAAACAAAAAACTAAATATTGTTCGTGTTTCCAAAAAATGTTCTCAAAATTCAAAATTTGTTCTCGTTACACAAAAAAGTACAAAAGTTCTGAAATTCAGAAAATGTACTGAATTTCAATTTTTTGTTCACATATTCAAAAAATGTTAGCTCTTCCAAATTTTCTCAGGATTTTTCAAAATTCTCTCCGTTGCAAAATATGTTTTCAAGATTCAGAAAATGTTTGTGCTTTAAAAAATTGTTCGGACTTTCAAATTTGTTCGGAATTTTTCAAAATTTCTCTCCGTTTCGAAATATGTTCTCAAGATTCAAAAATGTTCATGCTTTAAAAAATTGTTCGCGCTTCCAAATTTGTTCAGGATTTTTTAAAATTGTTCACCATTTCAAAATTTGTTCTCAAGATTCAAAAAATGTTTGGGAATTGGAAAAAATATTCCAGCTTTCCAAATTTCTTCACAAATTCAATAATAGTTCATGTTTTTAAAAAAAATCACAAATTCAAAAAATGTTCTGGAAGTTTTAAAAATATAAACATTTTTGTTTTTTGTTCACAAATTCAAGAAATGTTCCCCTTTCTCAAATTTGTTCACATCATCAAAATGTTCCTGTTTTACAAAATTTGTACGAAAATTCGGAAAATGTTTTTATTTTGAAGAAAATATTCATAATTTTGAAAAATTCAGTTGTAGGAGGTCGTCGGTTCGACCCAATAAATTATCTGTAGTCTTTAACTGTCGCGCTGGTAGTTGAACGTGAGAATGTCTACATTGCAGTGGTTTGCATGGCAGGCCAGTTAGTGCGAAGTCGCGTGTTCGAGTTACAGCGCGAGCTCTAGTTTCTTTTTTGCGATTTTTCATCTCGGGAACGTTCCGCCGCGTGCCACTGTAAATGGGCCGGCCCACGCTAGCCGCTCCTGTGCGAAGCGCCGGCATTTTGCCGCAGCGAGCGGCCTATAGGTGCTCCCCTTGGCCCAGGCCAAGGTGGCCTACCCCCAGAGCCGGCCCTGCACAGGTGTTCACTGTAGCCAGAGCCCCAGACCATTATTTAATACGGACATACGGTCATACTGTTAGTGACCCGGGGCTCTCTTTTTGACGTGTTGGAATGTCATAACTCTGTTCTGGACAATATTTACCAAGTTCCAGTAGCTTGATAGTTTTGTACATCTTGGAATGTCATAACTCTGTTCTGCAATTGTGGAATTCTTGTGTTTCATGCTTACTGTTTGCTATTTTCATCTTGTCCTTGTGAATAGGGCCTAATTGTGCGGATGAGCCAATATGGAAAGTTGCGAGGTCATAGTGGCTGTGTTAATACTATAAGCTTCAATCCTGCTGGTGACCTCCTTGTGTCTGGTTCAGACGACACAGACATCATACTATGGGACTGGCTTGCTAAAACTGAAAAACTAACTTACCCTTCTGGACATCAACAAAATCTCTTTCATGCTCGTGTGATGCCATTTACAGATGACAGCACCATTGTGACCGTTGGTGCTGATGGCCAGGTGTGTCTCTACCCACGCTTGAGTTTTTTTCTTGCTGTATTAGTAGTATTAGTACTAATCAGATATTCACAAGTATCCCAATGACTATGTACTGTTTTTTATGTGACCAATATCACCCTTAGGAAACTCTAGAATAATAGCACCATACACGACTAACCAAAAGGTCACCTGTAAGCCATGTCTTCAAAAGCTATCTTCATAAGACCTTACAAGTAATTATTTTTCGGTATTGGTTATGTATGGAATGATTTTTCTGGCTATCAGGTGTCTGCAGATTCATTAAATTTACCATTCTGTTCTGATAGTCATTTCAATCCCACCACTTGTCCTCAGGTTAGGGTGGGACAACTGAAGCAGGGTGGTGAGTTCATAACCAAACAAATTGGGGAGCATCATGATCGTGCGTATAAGATGGCTCTCGAACCAGGAAGTCCTCACATACTTTACAGCTGTGGAGAGGATGGCTTGGTACAACACGTATGTCACTGCTCCGTTATATGCTAATATTAAAGCAACAATTATATTGCATCACACATTTGGATTGATTTTTTTTTTTACAGTTTGACCTGCGCAGTGATTCACCAACAAAGCTTCTCACCTGCTATTCATTCTCAAATAGAAGGCGCCGTGTAAGACTGAATACCATTGCTATTGACCCACAGAACCCTAATTATTTTTCGATCGGTGGCTCCGAAGAGTATGTACGGCTGTATGATTTTAGGAAAATAAACTTGGAGTCTTCAAGCAATATGAACCTACCAGTTGATACCTTCTGCCCTAAGCACCTTCTTATGGGTGGGAAGGTCCGTATCACTGGCATTGCATACTCTTATTCAAGCGAGTTACTTGTCTCATACAATGACGAGCTTATCTACCTGTTCGAAAACTATATGGGTCTTGGTCCGAATCCTGAATCAACACAGCCAGAGCATTTGGACAAGCTCGAGCAGCTACAGTCATACTCTGGTCACAGAAATTTCAGAACTGTTAAAGGAGTCAGTTTCTTTGGACCCAATAATGAATATGTTTTGAGTGGGTCAGACTGCGGGCATGTGTTCATTTGGAGGAAAAAGGGAGGTGAATTGATGAGGATCATGCGCGGCGATAAACATATTGTTAATTGCATCGAACCCCATCCGCATTTTCCCTTCCTAGCTACTAGTGGGATAGACAACACGATTAAGATTTGGACACCTTCGTCAAGCAAAGTGATGCAATTGCCTCAATATGCAAATAAAGTAAGTCTTATGTTTTGTTGGTGTTGCACTCGGTTCGTATAGTTGACCGTGTACATGCTCTTGTTGTTGCAGTGAGTTTGTATTTTACAGTAATGTTTTGTTGCATGACAGGTAATAGCTTCAAACTGGCGGGAGAGGCAATTCTATGCCTCCCGAGGAGAAGTGACACTTTCAGCTGACGTCATGATGCGTATCTTAAGATTGCAAAGTACACAATCTGAACTGTACGCAAATCATGAACCATCTGCTGCCGATTTCGCAACTGGTGGCGATGAGACTTTCTTCATTGGGCTTGGTGATGGTGATGGGAACCAAAGATCGAACTCTGATCCCAGGGAATGCATTGTGACATGAGGCCATGTGTTTTTAGGTTGCAACTTCACATTCAGTGATATTTTAGTGGCGGAAAACTGATTGGCAGTGTGTCACAACCTGCTACTTATTTTTTTCTGTTATTGTGTTATTAGTATGTTAGTATGTTCAAATCTGTACTCAGTCTGCGCGCGTGTGTCCCGACTGTGATAACCGTGCATCATGTACTCCCTCCATTCCTTGATATAAGGTGTATAGATTTTTGAGAAAAAACCCAAAATATAAGGTGTATTGCGTTGCACCATTCGTATGGATAATTTTTTTAGGGATTTGATTACATTTCCTTATATTAGGCAAACTCCTCTATTTTCTCATGCCAATTAGTATGATGTAATCTCGCTCAAAACTTGTGAAATTTTTCCTCCACGTGCGTTCTTTAATTTTCGTGCCAAAAACTATACATCCTATATTTAAGAATGGAGGGAGTATATAAGTTTCATAGGTTGAGAAATCAACACTGAAACCTAAAAGCATCTCTAGCAGACCCCTTAAAAATGATCAAACCCGTAAAAATTCGTGTTTTCAGTTCTGCGGTGTCAAAAAACGTCTTGAATAGAGCCCGTGAAAGTGGTCAAACCCGTAAACTTTTTTCAGGCCCATGAGAATCCATCTCCACGACCCTTTTATTTACCGATTTGAAGGCAAAATATAAACGGGACTGAAAACCGGTCAACGCTATGCGATAAGGAAATTTCGCCGTGTGCACACGGGCTCCGGTGACCTTCCGCCTTGGAACTTGTCGGAATCTCGCCATTTACAGCTGCTATGGCGTCGGCCTGCAGAGTAGATCGCAGGAGCAGCGACGGGAGACTCGAGAGCTACGGCGACGAAGGAGCTCCTAATCGATCCGGGCACGAACGAGCTAGCTATGGCGGACTACGGGAGCTGACTATGAACACGGCGAGAGAAAAAAGAAGACATGGGGAAGAATATACGCGAATATTCGGTTTTACGGTCCGAGTTTAAGTGGTTTGGCCACAGCCCAAACCGACCATTAAAATGCGTTTTCCGTGAACTAAAAACCGCGTTTTTAGTTTCGCGATTTAAGGAGTCTGCTAGAGATGCTTTAATGTAACATTTGATAACACCTCCTTTCATGTTCAGCATACCTATATACTTCCTCCGTTCATAAATATAAGATCCTCTAACTTTTTGGGGAACTGAATTTATTATACATGTTTTAGTGTGTTTGTTTTCATTCATTTCGGTTCATATCTAGTTCATATTTTAAAATATTCAAAACATCTTACATTTATGAAAGAGGAAATATCTTTCAAGGAATCATTCCACTGCACCCAGAAACTTCAACAACTTTCTCTGAAATGTTCCTTCAGAGAAATGGACTGCATTTCGGCTTACCAAAAAAAAAGATGACCAGACTAATACTGCATTTCTGCATCTTAGAAGAAAAGGAAACCAAAGTCATTCCCGGAGTTGATCAACGCGACAACCTCGCAATCCAGCGTGAGCGCGTGCCTGATGGTATTCTCTTACCTTTGTGCACACGTAAACTTTTTTGGAACCGTGAAGCAACTAGTAGAACGCCCGTGCGTTGTCGTGAGCCAACAAATAGATCTATTACGACTTGCTCAATTTCAGCTCTTTGGTCATTGTGTTATTATCCCTCCGGTTCTTTTTAGTCTGCATTTAAGTTTTGTCTGTAGTTAAAATATTTCTAATTTGATCAAACTTATAGAAAAATCTATTGACACTCACAATACCAAATCAATATCATTAGATTCATTGTGGAATGTAGTTTCATGTTTTATATATTTGGTATTGTAGATATTGATATTTTTTAATATAAATTTGGTCAAACTTTGCAAAGTTTGACTTGGCACAAATCCTATATGCAGAGTAAAAAGGACTAGAGGGAGTACTTCACTATGTTGTCACCCCACTCAAAGTCCGGCTGGTGTTTTCTTCGGGTCTATCAAATTGTTTAGTCCCATCATCCCAAACTCATGGACTATCATATGGAGCCGTTTGGCTTCAACTCTGCATTGCCACCCAACTCAAAATTCGCATATGTTTTCTCCAAGTCTGCCAAACTACCATGGGCATCTCATCAGCCAGCTTTGAATTTCTTCCAACATACGTCATCCACTCCCTCCTAAAAGTTCAGACAAATTAAACAAGCTTCCCATACAACTTTGCAATGCCGATATACTACATCAAAAATCCCAAATTGCTCTCATTTTCCTTGTTTAAGCATTGCATACAAAGGAAAATTTCTAGAATCATATCATATGCACATAATGATCAAGGTGTCGCACTTCCGTTCTCGAATTAGCTACAAATCACATGAAACAAATTCTTCTCACTTGAATTGATGACTCGTGCAACATATTTTTATTCTGTTATGTAAATGATTGCATGAATCACCTTCCCTATAGCTGGCTAATATGACACAACTTAATGACCGAGCATCCAGTCACCGAGGTATGCACTTCCCTATTCATCTCACATGCTCGTGCTCCTTTCCCTTCCCGTTGACACCACAACTTTCCCTAAGTAGGAGATCCGTACAATGTAAAACTCTTTCGTAGAAAACATAATCGATGTGCATATTTGCTATCATAACCATTTACAATCTCTCGAATGGTTCTCCTACTCCTACAACCTCAGTCACCAAACTTTGTCATGGTTCATTAGCAAGACATGCTTGTTTCTTTGTCACACACTCAAAACAGTTAAAAACTCTGTTGACGAGATTCTTTGCATTTATGGTAACACGGATACTCAAAATAGAACTATGGTCACCTTCTCACCGAAATAAGGAACAAAATGTAGTGCCCGGTCAAGAGAATCCTTGTTGGTGGCAGCGGGGGCATACATATTTTTTGTAGTTCAACAACAATAGTGTCACACATATACTTTTAAATCCTTTTTCAACCATCTCGATCTAATTTTTTTGCTTAAGACATCTTTCTTTTCAAGAGTACACCCAGGCGTATCATATTTTTATAGAAGGAAGAAGCAGACAAGAAGACTACCCTTGTTACGAACTACAAGTGTAGCACAAACTCCACACCATAGTAGTCCGAAGACATTTCACCACAACACAAAGATGCCTACCCTAAACTGAAAGAAAAAGTCGCGTTTCAAGTGACACCGGACGCCTCCGAAGACAAGACACCATCAAGACTTCCCTGATCAATGCACCATCCACCTATGTAAGCCTAAAAGAGAGGTCGGCGAGGAGGTGGCAGGACTTGGTCGGACTCGAGGAGGCACCGTCTTGGACGCATGAGCGATGGCGTACATAGATCCCTTGATGATCAACCTGGGGTAGCAATGAGCACCAATGGATCGCAACACAGGACCTCCATGTCGTGTCTCCGTACATGATGCTCCCAACAGAGGAACGATGTTGAGACCGCCGCCATCTGATAGCAGAATCAATTAAGATCTCACCTAACACAAACGCATGCCCTCTTCATGAAACCCTGAACCTTTCTTGCACTTTGTGTTCAAATAAATGTGCCATCTGATAGCAGACCAATATTTTGTTTTTGCTCTACACATGACTTGCTCACTACTCATAGTATAAAGCCAACTCGGTTGTAAAGGGAACTAGACAAACCACTCAAAAGAGTTAGAGAACCCAAAAAACATCTGGACTGAAGTATAACTACTGAAATGGACCGCGCACCAGCCATCGAGATGCAACCGCTCGGGCGCTCGCTCGTGGAAAATGAATTCGACGAATATGAGGACGGAAAGGTCAGCAGGTCTGCAGTTGAGATGCAAAGAATCATGGTTTATATTCAGAGACCAAACAGGGAAATAATTTCAGCTCAAGAACACAAACACGAGCAGCAATCTCGAAGGCACAAATTTGCCAATAACAGAACCGGATATAGACCAAAAGAACATCTTCACTCCCACTTAATCCAAGCAATTCACCCAAAAAATAATATCCAACTTTCCTATGGTTCCAGTCAATCACAACTTCAGAAAACAACCTTCAATAATCTGCATTCAAGAGGTCAATCTAATTAAAAACATTGTAAGTAGCAAGCATTCAGGCTGGTGATATTGTTATAACGTGTTGTCGAAGATTTGTAGAAACAGACTAAACGAGCTCTATCTTCTTTTCATTGTTTTTGTCTTCTGGGGATAGAAAAATAGAAATACCTCTGTTGGACTGATCAAGTAGTAAAAGGGATCATTTCCCTTGCCTACACATGGGCCATGGCTCCAAATTCAAATGTGAGGATCATTTGCATTTAGAGACTATCTTCAGAAGGATCTTGTTTGTGTTAGTGCTTCAGTATTGTCTTCGACAAAGGATTAATAAGTTGTAGTGTATCTTGGCTGATTTTCCTGAAGTCAGGCGTGAGGAACGAAACATTAGACTCAGGAGTACAGAGCCTTGTCTTTCATATATATTACACAACTACTATCTGACATCACAAACTTACCTGCACTGGAATCTTGCGAACGATGTTTTACATTCATTTGAAGAACGATAAGTAGGGTGGCTACTATTAAGCCCATGCTACCGAATCATGCACACACACTGGCAGAGTGCCTTGTTCTTGTTTTTGCTAGTGTAGCATTGCTTTCTTCGACTACTCCGCCAATGGCCTGGTTCAGTGAGAGAAGAGGCACAACTGAAGCACCTACCAAAAAACAGGACCGAGACATGAATATTAAGGAGATGGAAAAATAATGTCCAAAGAACAAACAATATAAGAGAACCATACCTTGGAAGGATCTTCATCGGGTTTATCATTTCAGATGTAGACAGAATTCCTTTGAGTTGTGTACACTTTCACCTTTTCGATTAAAATACAGTTTGGTTTACCCAAATATATGGACACATTTGTATGCCCTAAGTCCTATCTATGTTTTTAAGCATTGTACTTGATTGTCTTTCTAATTATTTCTAATGTTAGCATTACTTATGGAGACAAACCTTTACTTATGGAGATAAACCTTGGAATCGAAAGGGTTTAGGCTTAGTAGAACTAAAA